ACAGCGTATAAAAAGAAACGAAAGAACACGATGAGTGTAGCACACGCATGCCTCTCCATTGCCCCTGCGTGTGTAGTGCATTAGGTCAGGGGACCGTGGCGTTGTTTTTGTTTTGTTGTTGTTTTTGTTTTTTGCTTTTAACCGTGACCTGCTCTACTCGCTTTGTATGATTGCAATAGCAACTGCAGTATCATCCACGATACCACACACACACACACACGTAGGGACCACAACACGTATTGCTTGTGTATAGATAGGCCAAGAGAGAGTGAGAGTGAGAGATGGCTCCCGTCCCCATGGACCCCATCTTCGTCTCGTTTCATGACGACAATGCGATGATGACCCCGTTGTGCCTTGTTGATGGGCGACCTGACACCTTCCTGCTCACCACCGGGGGGTTTCCGCAGGACATCATCCTCAGTGTGGGCACCTCCGCCTTCTCTGACATCTCCAGTTTGCGGTTGGAGCTGCACGAGGCGAAACGGATTGTGGTGGAAAAGTGCACCACAGCGCTACCAACCGTCTTTGAAAAGGTGGCGGATCTCACGCTGCCTCGCACGCCTGAGGACGTGCGGCAGGTAGAGGAACTGCAATTTGATCTGCAGAGTACCGGCAAAGGCGTCCGCTACTTCCGCCTTCGTCTCTTGTCGGGGTACAACCAGTTTGTTGGTTTGTTTGGGGTCACAGCGGACGGAGAGGAGTCGCAGCAACGCGTCGCCATCCTGGAGTCACAGCCCGAGGTAGTCATGTGAAGTGCGGAGTTGGCTGAGAGAGAGAGGAAGGAGGAGGAGGAAGTGAAAGATTGAGGTCTAGGGTGGAAGGTGCGCTGTCGCGTGTGTAGAGAAGCGAGACAGAAGGCATATATGTATGTCATTGATACAGTCAGAATAACAACAGCTTATGTACAGAGACACTCCTTTTTTTTTTTTTTGTATGTGGGGATCAACTCTGTTTCTTTGTCCATAGATTTCTTTCCTTATTTTTTTCTTTCATTCTGTGTGTATGGACGTGGAGGGAGGGAGGGAGGGGGAGTGTTGCCGCCTCGCTGCTGTGGCTCACACACAAACAGAAGGGAGCGAGTTGGTTTGGTGTTGCCGCGTAGGAGGGGCAGGGAGTAACTCTTTTCATCCAACCCTACAGCGAGGCAGAAGACCCTCCAGTGCGTGCCTTTTGCGTCCTTGACGGCACCGCCACACATACATACACACAGCACTTAAGCAAAGATTAATAGCAGTAAAAACAAAATAGCAAAGGCAGTAAAAGCGGCAACTGTCACGCACGCACGCATCCTTGAAGTAGAGGTACTGTCGAGGGAAAAAGCGAGACTGCGTGGCTTGGGCGGCGTTTGCGTTACGGTTGGAAAGGAGGTTAGGGAGCGCGTGCGACGGGCCTTCCTACGACGACGGTATCGGTTGGCACTTACACTCGGAGCATCACGCGTAGATGTCGACCATTCTTGACGCGCAGCCCCCCATAGACCCCGCGCAGAAGGCGCTCATGATGGCGAAGGACAGCACCCTGGCGACAGCTGGCATGAACGTCGTCGGCGGGTACGTCATGGGCTTTGGGTTTTCCCTCTTCGGCGCCATGATTTCAGCGGAGACGGCGACGCAACGTATGGGCACCGCCGACTTCTTCCGCCACAGCCTGCGCAGTGCCAACAAGCTTGGGGGCAGTTTCGCCTACTTTGGGTTTCTCTTTGGCGGCATTGAAGTGGCTCTGGAGAAGCGACGCGGGCGGAAGGACGCGTGGAATCCGACGGCGTCCGGCGCAATTCTCGGCGGGGCCTACGGCTGGCGCTACTACAAGGCCCCGGGGCTGGTGGGCGGCATTGTCGGTGGTGCGGCCTTTTCGCTGGTGTTTGAGCGCATGATTGACGCGCTTGGGTTCGCGCAGCACTGAGGCACCGGCGGGAGGGACCGCTGGGAAGGGGGAAAAAAAAAAGGAGGAGAAAAAAAACATCTGCGAAGAACAGAGGGAATACAGCGGCAGTAAAGACACAATAAACGAAAAATGAAAAAGAAAAAGAAAAAAAATCAAGTTATTAGCGCTCTCTGGCAGCCGAGCGCCCGGGTGGAGAGGGGGAAGGAGGTCAAGGCGGAGGCGTACGCTGGACTCCCGGGAAAGGGGGCCAATAATCACATGACTGTATTGCACTGTCCCTCTAAGGTGCGCCACATTCTCTTTTGTGTGTGTGTGTGTGTGTGTGTGTGTATTTCTTCTTGTTATGACGTACATACGGTACGCGTACACATGTGTACATGACATGTACGTGCACGGCATGATTTTGGTCGCCACCATCACATGCACACACACACACACATCGACTGCGGTGTGTTCTGTACGGCGCTCTGCTCTTTCGCTGCAGGTATGTGCAAGTGTGTCCCATCTTCTGCCGCCTCACCCTGGCTCCCGCGATACGTCGCCCAACGCTTAGCAAGGCATCAGCAACCGTAGCGGGCGAAAGGGAAGAAGAAAAACAGCACAAGGAAACAAGGGCCATAAAATTTTGACAGTGAGACTGCGAGAAGCGATTGATTGATTGATTTGGGGTAATATTATTAAAAAGAAAAAAAAGAAGGAATATTGAAATGCTTCGTCATCTCGCACCGTGGCCCGTGATCGCCCGACGCGTTGCGGCGGTGGGCTACTTCACGCTGTCTCCCGCACGCTTACAAGCTGCGACCTCAAGCGGTAGTGAGTCTCGCGTGGAGAGCGGCACCAGCCATGACACCAATACTAGTGGCCCTGCGGCGAAGTGGCGCCGCCCATCACTGGCTCAGCAACGCGCCCGCCGCTCGCAGCTGCCGCCTGCGTTTGATGTCGTGCACTGGAACGACGAGGACATGAGCCGCGGGCACCTCTTGCGGGTGCTGCACCGCGACAGCTTCGTTGTCCTCGATTACCACCGCCAGGTGAAGAAAATGGGGGAGGAGGGAAACAAGGCGGAACGTGTCGTGTCGGTGATGCTGCCGGCGGTGTACACGGCTCGCTTCCTCGGTGTGCTGGAGGGTCGCATGGAGCAAGTGGAGGTGCAGTCGCGCTTCACCAATGCCGTTTTTGCCCCCGTCCCGGAGGTGCCGCACACCTTTATCCTCAAGTGCACCTCGACGCGGCCTCCGCAGCAGCAGAATGGCGGCAGCGGCGAGGGGGAAACGTTTGACTGGACAGTGATGTTTGACGTTGCGGAGTCACTAATGCTTCACCGCTTCCTCTCGCAGGCGCTGCACTACAACACAGGATTTGCCCGCACGTTTGTGTAGACAAAAACAAAAAAAACAAAAACGGAAACGGAAACGGCCGACGGGGAGATAATGGGACCTCGTCGTTTAGTGGGTATCGCCTGCGTGGCCAAAAAGGCACGGGGGACCCAGCAACAAGAGGGGGGATGCAGGGAAGGGAAAGAAGTAAAAGTGCCAGAAAACAGAATGAAGAAAGCACAAGAAAAAGAAGTGATAGAAAAAAAAAAAATTTTTTTTTAAGAAACGTATAGGCATGTGAGAGTTGCGAAGAGGCGATCGGTGGAAGGAAGAAGGAAAAAAAAATAAAGAGAAGAGGAGGGTGTTGGTGGAAGCGGCGGAAAGCAGAATTGGCGATGCATCCACCCGCACATGCGTGCATGCCTTCTGTGTATTATTTGCATGTTTGTACGATTTTATTTTATGTTTGTACCACCGAGCGGATGGGAAGAGGCAGGCGGAGCGTGTGAGTGGTGAGGGCATGGAATGAACACAAA